AAAAGTGCAATAAAAAAGACAAAATTAATAGAATCAAACCCTTTTTTTGTAGCATTTTAGTAGATTATAAAAATAAATGCCTTTAAAATAGGATGCAAGCAACACTAGTTTCTTAACCTGAATTGATAATAGACTATAATCAATTTAAGTTTGCATTCTTATACCATTTTGTACAATAATTATAATGAATAAGTTCAAACAAACTAAAACTTACAGCTGATTAATAACGGTATCTAACTTGAGTTTTTATCATATCAAAAACCTGTTGAAATGCTTCTGTTATTTTTATTACGCATCGGCAGCCTCCAGGAAAGCTTCTTTCACAACTTCGCCGTCTTTGAAAGACTTCATGTGTTTCGCAAGAACGTGACGGACCTGATAAGATGCTCTGGTAGCAGTCTTGCTCTTGTTGTTGGGCCTGGTGAAAATGGACTGCTGTGCATTTAGCTGTCCTTTCAGGCCCCTCCCCTTTTGGAGCGTAGGGCAGAATGAGGAGGGAATTCCGTCTCGTAGCGTTTGTGCACTGTTTTGAAATGCCGCTCCTAAATTACCCTTCTTTGATAAAGCCACGCTCGCATTGCAGATGAGACAGATGGACTTTGAATTGGAATAGATACAAAAATAATCATCCTCCCACTCGGAGTGAGAATTATATATTTTGGGCTTTTTTTGCTTCTGCCATAATTTCGGTTTTGTGTGTGTGCGGACTGTCACTCCTGTTGACACGGACAACGTCAGCGTAATAGTGCCCACTGCCACGCCCCGACACATGGGGTCACGCCGGCCAATCACAATGCTTTGATGCGTTCAAGTGCATTATTCTGGCACATGAAGATTATGTTATAGGACATTAACGATAAAACAGAATATTGTTGTTCTATTTTTAGACACATCTCGCGATCGACTGGGAATCTCCCCGCGGGCACCCCTGCTGTATATAGTCAATGTGAGGTAAAGTGTGTCGCCAAGGTAACCGGTTAGAACTCCAAGTGGCGATGAGGTCTTAAAATGTATGGAAAGGGTCCAAAGATCCAAAAATACTTAAAGTTCCAAAAATACTTAAACTTCCAAATATACTTAAAGATCCAAAAATACTTAAAGTTCCAAAAATACCCCAAATTCCAAAAATACTTAAAGTTCCAAAAATACCGTAAATTCCAAAAATACTTAAAGATCCAAATATACTTAAAGTTCCAAATATACTTAAAGTTCCAAAAATACTTAAACTTCCAAATATACTTGGATACCGCAAATGGTTGGAAGATAAGGAGGAAGGACAATCAATACTGTATATAGTCAATGTGAGGTAAAGTGTGTCGCCAAGGTAACCGGTTAGAACTCCAAGTGGCGATGAGGTCTTAAAATGTATGGAAAGGGTCCAAAGATCCAAAAATACTTAAAGTTCCAAAAATACTTAAACTTCCAAATATACTTAAAGATCCAAAAATACTTAAAGTTCCAAAAATACCGCAAATTCCAAAAATACTTAAAGTTCCAAAAATACCGTAAATTCCAAAAATACTTAAAGATCCAAATATACTTAAAGTTCCAAATATACTTAAAGTTCCAAAAATACTTAAAGATCCAAATATACTTAAACTTCCAAAAATACCGCAAATGGTTGGAAGATAAGGAGGAAGGACAATCAATACTGTATATAGTCAATGTGAGGTAAAGTGTGTCGCCAAGGTAACCGGTTAAAACTCAAAGTGGCGATGAGGTCTTCAAATGTATGGAAAGGGTCTTAAAAGGTCTTACATCTGACTTCAGGATTCCTGCATATACCCTGATGTATTTAACCTTTTATATATTTCTATCGTACTATTACTACATGTTTATTCCTATTGTATTTGTATTGTTATTATCCCATGTGTACTATCTGTGTTTCTGTCTTATTCGGTTGCTGCTACAACACCTGGATTTCCCAACAGGGATCAGTAAAGGCCCATCTTGTTTTATCTTATCTCATTTGCAATCTAGTCAAATTCTGCTACAAGCTAATAATGATGAGAAGACTTTACATTTCTCACCAGACTCACACAGGTCTTTCTCTCCTCAGGTGTTCCACTGCGTTCACTTTGAGTCTCCGGCTCAGTTGGACACAGACGTGAATGAAGGCAGCCCGGGTTTGGATGCCTCGGATCCTGACTCCGCCTCTCCGCAGACGCGACCCCAGCGACCTTCACGCACACACAGCCTGCAGCCCTCCCACCCCTCCCAGCCCTACCAGCCCTCCCATCCCTCCCATCCCTCTTCCTCCTCCTCATCTTCTTCCCAGTCCCACCATTAAAACCTGGGCCTATCGTCGGGAAAGAGAGGACGGGAGAAAAACGCTCACCTCAGAATGCCATTTTTGCACAGCCTTCATCACCCAGACTGCACTGCTACAGCGCTGCTAAAGGCGACCGTCTCATTGTCATTACCCGTGATCCTTCTGTCATTAGTGCAACATTAGAGACTGGTGTATCTGTAGCAGCAGCGTTTAGGGCTCCAGTCGTCCCAGTTCTGAAACAGAAGGTTAGGCGTTACATCTTTGCTCCAACATTTTTGTGAAGGTACTCTGTAGCTGCAAATTCTTTCCTTGAAAAAGTGAGATCTTGTACTTCTCCCAAGACCACACGGAAACGCGGTCGTTCTGCACCACCAAAGAGCGTCAGAGCAGTATTGGAAGGGAAGCGTCGCTATCTGAATTTTACGAGCAAATATTCCCCAAAAGAGATGGATTTTTTTTCCATAAACAAGCTATTTTTTTAAGAAAACTGTCTTAAAGCGACTACTCACTTTTCATACCATCGAGCTAACAGAGTAGCAGTCGAGTATTTTTCAAAGTTTGGAATTAAATCGTTCGAATGTTTGCCAAAGCTTTGGAGCTAATGCACTCTGCGGCATTTGTATGCAATTTGCACTTAATCCAATTATGCATTTGCATAGTAAGTAATCACTGTTAAGTATTTGCTGAAAGGCTTTCACACCCGGACACAAAGTCTCTGGTCCTGATCTGGTGTGACTCTTTTGATAATTAAAATGCATACGTCAAGAAAAACCTCACTTGAACTAGATTGAGTTCAGCGTTCTGGATTTAGTATTTTAAGCACTTGGAATAGCTTAGCACAAATGATTAGGACATTAATTAGCCTGCAAAAATTGGGTTTGAGTGGTTCGGACCAAATTGTATATGCACTAGTGCTGCTAGGAAGAAGGTTTCTATTCAGTAGACACACGAGCAGCTGCTATCGGCACTTTATTTTACTCGAGTACTCAGAAATAAAGGTTGCAGCTTGGCTCCTCCGACTGAAGTTCAGTACTGGAGTGCTGGATTTCTGTTTGTATGTTGATTTTATTTAAACACTCTCGCTGTCTTTTGTGTGTGTGTTTTTTTTCTCGAGTTTTGTTTTTAAATTAAGCTATCAGTGCTGTGGTTTGTTTATTGTGTGTCCTGATGTTGCACTTATGAGTTGTTCGTCTTGCAGAACTCTTTTTTATTGGATGTGAATAGCCTGTCCCACCGATGTTTCTATACGCCTTCTTAAATCATCGCCATCTACATTTTAGAAGAGCACCCGTAGTTTGATAAAGTCTTCCTTAATAACCGACCCGAGAACTGAAGAAGGGTTTGTTCAGGTTAATGTAGAAAAACACACTCCCCACCCCCCATCTACCTTTTATGTTTGTGTATAGTTTTACTTAATATATATTAGTTTTGACTATTGACGTGTGATTGCATTTCACTGCCTCTTGTTCAATACATTGCCTGTCAAAAATGTGATTATGGAAACAACTGACATTGTTCATTGCTGACACCCGTCTGTTTTTCCTGCTGTTAAACTCAGCGGAGCTCTTTGATACAAGCAATACATTGATGTGTATCTTCTGTTACAGACCAACAGTGATCAGTCGACACGTGTTCATCATGCTATAGGCACTGATGCCCCGGCAGCTCTCTAGAACATGTTTGATGTGTAATGCTGTCTAAGGAGCTGTTTTACTGTCATGAAACATTTAAAAAACATCTAATTTTGAAGATCTATTGTCTTGTTTCTGTGTCTCAATGAATGGACGGGAAGGAAAGCCGGCGAGCAGTGTAAGCCGAACACAAATGACAGAACAATTAAGAAGCAAGGATGAAACGATTACCTGTTGAACTGATGAGCATTATATATATGACAGATTCACAGTTTAGAGAGCTTTGATGCACCTTTGTGGGATGTGTCTCAGATAAAGGCACTGATCAATGGAAGAATTGTTACCCCAAAGCTTTAAACCAATCAGGAAATGGCTAACTTCTCTCTGTCTTGTGATTTTGTTTAAAACACAGATGGGTCAGATGACAATGTGTGATCTAAAAGATGTTGCTTGTATTGACTACATTCTCTTTATTTACATTATTTAGCATCCTTCAGCACATAGTTTCCCCTTTTTAAAACTCCAATAAACCCTAGTGCACTACTTTTCCACCACCACAAAAGCACAAAGATCAAATGTGTGACTGTTTACAGCTTGTTATGCTGCTCAGAAAAGTCAATAAATGTGGGTTAAATAAAACTGGAAGACACCAGAAAGCTGCTGATTCATCCACAATTCTATATCATTGATCTAGAAGTGTTAATGCTGTTTTAAATACAATTTAATCAACACATATATGTACAGTAAGGTTAACTTTAACTAACCACAAACATATGTATTGCATTTCAGCCCACGATGTTATCCTGTTTCACGTTTCTTGTCATTACAAATGTATTAGATAATTAAAGTCCTCACTGTAATTGGTAAACGGATTACAGTGGTGAAAGCCAGTCAAACCGTTACACCCTCTATCTGGGTACACATTTTAAGTTTACACATCGATATCAAATGTAACATTTAGGACTTATAGTTGTCTTTAATTGTGTGAATATGCATTTAAAATGCCAGGTATTTTTGCACAGTTTTTCCTCTCGTTGGGCAATATTGACATTTCTAGTTTGATGGACGCGTTTCCGGCCCACCATACTTCGTAGCAGCGACGTGTAAAATAGGGGTGGTGATTGACAGTTAAAAGAGGAAGGCCTGCCTCAATGCATGTATCTTTTATTTTCTCGTACCTTTAGAGGTATTTAACTCCACCACAAGTGGGTTTCATCTACATTTATGGACATTTTGTGGGATTTATACGCTTTTTAGTGTCGAGTAAAACCACGACACCCCTCTTTTCTTCCCCCGGTCGAAACGCCCAAACGTCCAGCTGATTGCTTCAATTATTCCAGTTTAAACTGAGCCGTTTTGTTTGACTTAACGGATGGTTTTTGTCGCCAAAAGGGGCCGAGTTCGCCACCTTTTTTCATCCTAATTGTGGATTTAAAACAAGAAACAGGACTTATTTAAATGTTTCTCTAACTTGGGCCGTTTTCTTTCTCCTCACTGAAGAAGAACCAGGCCTCATCCCCCAGCCTCGCGTTTCCATATCGGCTTTTTTTTTTGTTGGAAGTCATGGGAGACACAAGTGAACGAAGCAAACCGGCGACTCTTCCTCCCCGGTGTCCCTGTGGCTTTTGGGGGTAAGATTTCTAACCAAATACAAAGACGATGTAATCCTCTTTCTTTGCTTTTAAAGGTAAATCCGGATGAAATACGCTCAACGGGTTCAACTAGTCCCATTGTTGTTGTTCTGTTGTACAGGCCGAGGGTGGGGGGTTGGGAAGTTAGCTTATAAATACATCTCCTATCTTAAAAACTAGCTATATGTCTAATTGTTTTTAAGTTTATAACCCCACTTTATCATTTGAAACACCGTATGTGTATTTTAATCGTCTTAAATCGTGTTTTAAAGGCGCTTTGTAAAGCAGGAGATGACGTCACGTAGATACAGCATGATTTATTGCCAGCAGGTTCCTTTAAAAACCTGCCCTGTTTTCTTGAATCACATCGAAGAAAAGCACACTTTGAACCATTAACAAGCCCCTCTGGTTAAATCCTCTGACATAGCAGTGGTTATAAACCTCTTTAAGGATTATTTGACAGCCCTTTTACATTGTCAAACAGTGGATGTGTGTTGCATACCGGATGTGATTCAATGATGTCTGATGTGTTACCCCATAGGAAAAATTGCTTCATATAACCTTTGTTTATTTTTAAAAACCTAACGTGACTTCTCCATTTTATAAGTGTCTGTTGTAACATTGCCTAGCAGCAGCACATAAGATACTGTTACTGTCATGTCATGCTAACCACCACTAACCCCTGTAATACTTCCATTATACTAACATGGGTGATTCTATTGTGGAAAACTACTTCTATACTGTGAAATGCCAGCAGTGAGACAATAGCCCCTTGTTTAGAGGTATTATCTTTACAGTACATTGTCATATGACTTGTCATTTTGTTACCTCCCTTAAGCCCCACCTCTCCCTCCCCTCCCCTCCCCTCACCCCCATTTGCCTTGTGGTGCCCAGTAAGCAAACTGGAACCAGCAACCCACCTGTCAATTGTTAGGTGACACAAATGGCAGCAATGTGTGTTTTACAGCCCTGCTCCTCTGTTCAGAATGACACACACACACACACACATACATACATACATACACACACACGCATACATACATACGTCAGTCAAGTCAAAGTCAACTTGATTGTCAATCTTTCAGTTTGTATGTACAGACAGAGATCGAAATACCGTTTACCACAATCCCGAATACAATTATATGTATAAAAATATGTATGTCCTATATATATATATATACATACATACATACATACACACACAATCAACAGACACATTTATACATATATGCACACATCAAGATAAAAGCACCACAATTAATATATTTAAAAAATAACAGTCACTTCAATATCTTTGGGAATGTAAATTAGTGCAAGATTGACTATAGCAGTGTAAAAAGTACATGCGTACACACACACACACACACACACACACACGTCACTGAAACTCAAGGCCTCTTAAAGAGCTGCTTGAATATGGTTATCTTCAGCTTTTTTAAGGGTTTAACATTCAGTATGGAGAGCTTTAAAAGCATGGATGATGTGTAACCCATGGTGGAAGATGTTTTCAGATCTACGGTAAAAAAATAGTGACATATGTCCAATTACAAGTTTCATGAATCCAAGGTGATATTTGCTTTTCTTACTGGCGGTTCAGAAACTCAAGATATTACTTGTATAACGATATAAAACAGAATAACGTTGTAAATCCTGCATTGGAAATATTTCAAGTCAAATCAGCTGAATGTAGTAGAAGCATTAAATGTTAAAGTACCCCTCCAAATAAATCATCATTACAAGCGCTTTGTTGTAGTGTTAGTAGACCAGGTAGAGCATTATCAGAGACTAAAACTGTGAAGATCATTGGTTGCTGGGGCACGGCAGTATATTTGATATCAACATGAATTGATCACCATATTGGCCCATATTTCTGCCCTTCTATTGGTTCCTCTCGGCTAATATCGAGCAGTATGTGAGAAATACTGAAAATACATGCAGTCTGTATTCAGTCCTTTTTGTAGCGTTGAAGGTTAAAGGCCTACTTGTATCTGTGTTTGTTCCTTCCACTCTGCATGCTGCTATCTGATGAACTAGAGGTGTTTTAAGCAGCGCTTCTGTTGGTATCCAAATATTCTCATCTAGTCGTACCTGTACTGCAGGATGGAGTGGGGGTCTGTCTTCTGTAAAGTGCGTACATTTTGTATAATTATAGGTACACAAGGGGTCTCTTTTCTTTGGTCCTCTTATGTGGAACAATTCATGCACTTTTTAGCCGCACGTTATGTGGATATTGAGAAGTCTACCTTCTAAATATTAGTTTGTGTTAGGGTTATTAACATCTCTCTCTTTGGACACGACACATGGAAACAATTGGGTTTTGAGTTTCCTGAAAAACTCTCCTAAGAATAAATCACTTTGTTTTCTAGGAGATCCTTATTGAAAACAAAAAGAATACTCTACTCAATAAATGGATTCTTTAAATAAGGTTAATGTCTGATGTTGGTTGTATTTTAGCCACATTTTACAACATGATTTGATGCTCGAAATCAATAGAAAGAAACACAAAGACTCTCATGCAACAAATCCAGAAAATGATCCCAAGTTGTACGTGAATGTTTAGAAGCAAAAGAGAAGGGTTTAACAGGATTAAACATTTGGAAATCTGGCACATAAATAAGTAGGGCTGCTCGATTATGGCAAAAATCATAATCTCGATTATTTGGGTCAATAATTGATATCACGATTATTAAAAACGATTATCCATTTACTTTGAAAACATCAATTTATTGGAGAAAACAAATTTGAACGGTATGTTTTTAACAGTTGATTACCCTGAACTTTAACTCGTTTTATTTTGATTACATTGTTTTCGTAATCGTTGCAAGCCATAATCGTAATTGCGATTAAAATACGATTAATTGAGCAGCCCTATCAATAAGTAATTCTGAGCTGTGGCACACATCAGGAACTCATCGATTTCGTGTGTGTGTGTGTGTGTGTCCACTGATGGTGTTTATCCTGTTCATTGTATTACTAAATAGTAGGAACCTCTTAAAAGGTATCATTAATCAGTACACTTAAAGTATATTGTCCCGAGGTGTGACACCTTTGGAGTCTAGCTGACATCGTTGTAAATCCTAACCTCATTAGCATACCACCTGTATAAGGAGAGGGGTAGAAATCTACAGATTCTTCTTTTAAAGATTCAAATGCTTTATTGACTTAATAGCTCTGGGGTAGTTTTGACTAAGGAAATCTAAAGCCCTCGGCTCCTCCAACGAGTGCTAAATGGAAATACAATAGTGCAAGTAAATAAGTAAACCATACACATGTAATTAGAATAAGATGAAATACATATCAAAGACATTGTTCACGAGTGCTGATATCATCGGTTTGGATTGCTCGAGATTGCCTTTTTTTATTTGATAGTTTAAACGTTTCAAAGCTTCACAAAGTTATCGTCCTTCATGCTTTTTATTGGCCAGGAATGAAACCAATGTCCCACTTTTATAAGGCGCTCTGGTACAGTCTAAACGTCCAGGAAAAAAAATCTTCTATCTTCCCGAAGTCTCATTTTCGGTTTCTGTTGACCTTGTGTCAGAGAGTTTGTGGATGAGGCCGTGCTCAGCATTGTTCCAGTGGATTGGATTATAGTTGGTCTGCCTCATGGTGGTGGACAGAAAGCCAAAAGTCTGTGTCTTAAGTGTATACTTACTGATTGGGATCACTACCAAAGTCCACTTGTTACTTTGCCCGAGGCCCATTCCTCTAGCAGGAATGCAGTGATAGGCGGTGAGATCTCTTGTAGACGTTCAGGTGTCTCTAGCCGGGGAACAGGCCTCTCTTCCTCGACCTCAGTGCAGGTTTGGATCCTGGATCTGTAGGAACAATGATGTGAAGAACCTCCAGAGCCTGTGCATCATTGACAGCTCTCCTAGCTGACAGAAATGGCTGCATTGTGGAGGGAATGAACATTAAAGAGAGCTCCAGAAGGGGAGAAGAAAGACATGACGGAGAGTAGGAACAGGTACAACAACAAGATAAGAAAACAAGGAGAAAGAAGGGTCTATATCAGGGGGGTCAAACTCAATGTAATCGCGGACCACATCAGCATTATGGCTGCACTCAAAGGGCCGGTTGTAACTTTAAGACTATATATAAATATATATATAATATATATAAAATAATGTATTATATTACATTATTGCCTCTCCATTGGATTATTATTAGATAGGCTAATAACTTCATAATTAACTACGTCTGAAAGCAGAAGTCTTGGGCAAATAATTGCAAGTCTCTTCAGTGAGCATATCACAAAATGATTTTAAAAGAAAAGCCAAATTCTGGAAAAAAAATCTAAATCAAAAAACAGAAGTGACATTTAAAAAAAAAAAGTCTCATTTGAGATGCATTGTGGGACATGTAGTTTATGGGCAACGTGCTTCTGTAAATCATCATGTAACCATATAGTAAACATATTATATTCTTTGCAAGCTCTTGTGGAGCCACAGAAAATGAAGTCACGGGCCGGATTTGGCCCCCGGGCCTTGAGTTTGACACCCCTGCTCTATATGCTCAAAAATCCGAGTTGAGGACTAAAACCAACCGAGGTTTGCCAGTTTGTAGAACTGCCCATCGTCTTTGTGATTTGAAAGTGCGTTACATGAACTTTTTAAAGGAATATTTCACCTTCGAAATTATCATATTTATATCAATTACTCACTCCATGAATACCTTAAATTCACGAAGTAAACTTATTTGCTACCCCATGCCTCTACAGAGAACAAATAATCCTAATGCAGGATGAAGATTGATGAGTTGAGTAGCAGCAAAGCTACATCAAACTAGAGTCTAAAGTTTGAGTTGTGAAAATTGGGTTTTGTACAAGTTACTTAAGAATAAAATATTTCTATTTAAATGAGAAGTACATTTTAAGGATATGCAGGAAAAGGATCAAATGTCTATGAACATAAACATTTAAGTAAAGGAAAAAAAGATATTGTACAAAATAAAACTACAATCAATATGTAAAAATGTGTATAATACACAGAACATATTACAGTAAGCTTAGATCTTAGTATTCTGGTAATAAAGTGTGTAACTCAATGCTGTCCCTGTGGTTCTCTGCCGCAGTAAAATCGCGGCTGAAAGTTTAAAAAACCCCTCTTGTCTTTGTTGGAAAGTAGGCTGGCTCACTGCAGCCACGACCGAAACAGGTGACTGACACAGAGGCTTTTGCAGGACCGAACTCTGTAAGTGAAACCTGCATCCCTTACACCCCCTGCCCCCCCCCCCCCCCCCCCCCCCCAAAATCCTCCAGGCTGCTGGCTTTCCAGTACAGTGTAGCCAAAAAGCAAAAGTACGGTGGCCTCTTTAGGACATGCCAAACTCGACTTGTGAGGCTCAGCTCGTTGACTTTCTTTCATCAGACTAAGATGCACATCCCCCTCCACATGTCAGTTGTACTTTGAGCTTAGCATGCTATGGAGACAGTTCTGGAGTAATTGATTGGATTCAAGCCTATCAATTTATCTATATGCATTGTTTGCATATTCAAATGTATTGTTAAAACGTCATATGGGCAGGATAGCTGGTGGCGGTTTGAGCTAAACTCACTAATCGTGACTGTATATCTTAATGTTTGACTCTTCGCTTGACTGAAGAAAGATCCAGTAATCGATGCAAATGTAAACAAGACATGGGTGCGTTTCACTTCGGTTAAATGGATTCCTTGCGTCCCTCACTTGCGTTGTTTCCCTGCATCTAGTCCCTCCCACCAAGGAAGCATGGAGAGATGCAAGGAAACCACGAGAAGCAGGGAAATGAGTTTTAAGAGCAATGGGACGTCGTTTCCTCCGGAGCGTCACGTTTGTGATGACGCCGCACAGCTGATCGTCTGACAGCAGCCAGATCAGTGCATGCGCAGCATCGTCCAATCAGTGAGCGATACACAGTAAGGGGGCGGGGCGAGTGTCTGAGGATTTCACCGGAGGATGGTCTCGTAGTTCCTCGATCCTCGGTCCTCCGGCACAAATAAGGCCACTGGGACGGTACTCGAGATGGCGCAGACAAATCAACTTCCGGTGAGACCGAGCCCGAGGAGCGAGGAAATGGAAAATAAGTGAAACGCACCCCTGGCTTTAGTTTTCCAGAAATGTGTCTCCATGCTTACATGAAACTAAATCGAGTTCTAGCTGATTGATTCGATTTAGGCCTATCAATTTATTTCAAGCATTGTTTGCATATTCAAATGTCATGGGTGTTAAAATGTCATTGAGTCAGGGTACCTGGTGTCGGTTTGAGCTAAGCCCACTAATCGTGACTGTATAGCTTAATGTTCCCTTATTTGACTGCAGAAAGATCCAATTCTCCATGAAAATATGTAACTGGAAATGGCCTGAAATGTGTCTCCATGCTTGCAGGAAACTAGTAGTGTTGAACTAATCAGTGTATTTACAGAAAATTAGTCAATAACAATGGTACAACTGTTCAATTATCTAAATACTAACCATGCTCCTTCTGTAAGTCTCTATAACGCCAATTTCTTCCCAATCCTCTGTGATTTCCTGTCCTGAGTGATTATGAAAGATGTTCAGGATGTGATATAATTGTCATTTGAGGTGTTGGGAACAGTGTTTGTTACGGATCCAGAACCACATGTCAGTCTTCCACACATTTATGTTTAGCCACACTGCGTAAATGTGACGCAGGTATTGTTGGAAGGGGAAACTAAATTCTTTATTACCATAACCATGTGTTTCATTTCTGTACAGTCTTGTGTAATCATCTCTTTTGTCCTTGATGCCGTGGTGTTGTCTTCAAATTAAACACATTTCACTTTTAGGTGTGCATCACATGGAGTAATAAGTACAGACTCAGTGCGGGTGGATGTCTGAGGAAGTTATTGACATTAATGTCTTTTTTTCTGCATCTTCAGGTCCAGTGAAACCATGAACCTCTGCTCCAAATGTTTTGATGGTAAGTATTTATTTAATGACTTAATACTGTCTTTGGAAATGTTCTCCCATCCCTTGTTCACCGGCAGATGAATGGTTTTCAAACAAGAAACTTGCTCGACTTAAAGCCAATGACATTTTTCTACTGGCTTTTGGATAATTGCAGAAAAAAATCTAAATGTTTATGATACTTACACGTTTTGTTCAGCTGGATAATCTCCACATATTCACACCACTTTATGACACATGACTTCACGTCACCACCGCTAAGCTAAAGGAGGCTAATGTTGGGTTATAAAGGAACTACAGCACGGTCACATGACTTCACGTCACCACCGCTAAGCTAAAGGCGGCTAATGTTGGGTTATAAAGGAACTACAGCATGGTCACATGACTTCACGTCACCACCGCTAAGCTAAAGGTGGCTAATGTTGAGCTATAGAGGAACTACAGCACGGTCACATGACTTCACCTCACCACCGCTAAGCTAAAGGTGGCTAATGTTGGGCTATAAAGGAACTACAGCACGGTCACATGACTTCACGTCACCACCGCTAAGCTAAAGGTGGCTAATGTTGGGCTATAAAGGAACTACAGCACGGTCACATGACTTCACGTCACCACCGCTAAGCTAAAGGAGACTAATGTTGGGCTATAAAGGAACTACAGCAAGGTCACATGACTTCACGTCACCACCGCTAAGCTAAATGTGGCTAATGTTGGGCTATAAAGGAATTACAGCACGGTCACATGACTTCACGTCACCACCGCTAAGCTAAAGGAGGCTAATGTTGGGTTATAAAGGAACTACAGCACGGTCACATGACTTCACGTCACCACCGCTAAGCTAAAGGCGGCTAATGTTGGGTTATAAAGGAACTACAGCATGGTCACATGACTTCACGTCACCACCGCTAAGCTAAAGGAGGCTAATATTGGGCTATAAAGGAACTACAGCACGGTCACATGACTTCACGTCACCACCGCTAAGCTAAAGGTGGCTAATGTTGAGCTATAGAGGAACTACAGCACGGTCACATGACTTCACCTCACCACCGCTAAGCTAAAGGTGGCTAATGTTGGGCTATAAAGGAACTACAGCACGGTCACATGACTTCACGTCACCACCGCTAAGCTAAAGGTGGCTAATGTTGGGCTATAAAGGAACTACAGCACGGTCACATGACTTCACGTCACCACCGCTAAGCTAAAGGAGACTAATGTTGGGCTATAAAGGAACTACAGCAAGGTCACATGACTTCACGTCACCACCGCTAAGCTAAATGTGGCTAATGTTGGGCTATAAAGGAATTACAGCACGGTTACATGACTTCACGTCACCACCGCTAAGCTAAAGGCGGCTAATGTTGTGCTATAAAGGAACTACAGCAAGGTCACATGACTTCACGTCACCGCCGCTAAGCTAAAGGCGGCTAATGTTGGGCTATAAAGGAACTACAGCACGGTCACATGACTTCACGTCACCACCGCTAAGCTAAAGGTGGCTAATGTTGGGCTATAAAGGAACTACAGCACGGTCACATGACTTCACGTCACCGCCGCTAAGCTAAAGGCGGCTAATGTTAGGCTATAAAGGAACTACATTACGGTCACATGACTTCACGTCACCACCGCTAAGCTAAAGGAGGCTAAGATTGGGCTATAAAGGAACTACAGCACGGTCACATGACTTCACGTCACCACCGCTAAGCTAAAGGTGGCTAATGTTGAGCTATAGAGGAACTACAGCACGGTCACATGACTTCACCTCACCACCGCTAAGCTAAAGGTGGCTAATGTTGAGCTATAAAGGAACTACAGCACGGTCACATGACTTCACGTCACCACCGCTAAGCTAAAGGAGGCTAATATTGGGCTATAAAGGAACTACAGCACGCTCACATGACTTCACGTCACCACCGCTAAGCTAAAGGTGGCTAATGTTGAGCTATAGAGGAACTACAGCACGGTTACATGACTTCACCTCACCACCGCTAAGCTAAATGTGGCTAATGTTGGGCTATAAAGGAACTACAGCACGGTCACATGACTTCACCTCACCACCGCTAAGCTAAAGGAGGCTAATGTTGGGCTATAAAGGAACTACAGCACGGTCACATGACTTCACGTCACCACCGCTAAGCTAAAGGTGGCTAATGTTGAGCTATAAAGGAACTACAGCACGGTCACATGACACATGAACAAAAATAAATCTCTTAATCTTATTTATCTTATTATCCTTATTTTTGGAATCTAACCAAAAACTCTAAATGCTAACTCATGTCAGTGTTTCGGACTTATTCCTGCACGTCTCTATTTGAGGCCTGTAAGCTATTTAGAGTTAGCTACGTAGATGATTCTGCATCACGTGAAATGTACACTTCTTCTCGACTACAGAGTTACTTAATGCAGGCCTTTGAGAACAACATATTGCTACCAGAAGAGGACATTGATATTCTCCCCCCTGCTGCCACTGTCTTACTGTCAGCTGGTTATGTGTCACATCCAAACAGCAGAACAAGTTCCACATGCGTTTGTTTTGTTGAGTTTCTTCTTGGCATGCGGAGCTGTTCTCTGTTACAGCAGAGACTCAGAGAGCAGGAGCTTCAGGCTAGGTGTACCAGCTGATACCGTGAGGAATGCTAAGAAGGCATTCTTGGAAAATGGAAAGAGACGTCTCACTCCAAAATGATGCATCCACCATTTACAGGAAAACATTCAAGTTGAGAGGAAGAAAGGATTTCATTTAAGGCTAAGTTTGTTACCGCTTATTATTACACGACCACACACTAAATAACCAAGAACTTGACTTACAAATATGAGTTTATTGACTTAAAACTGATCGTATTGCTTCGCTAAGAACAACGTCCCAACGACTAGAACTGCGATTTAAAAACAACAACATTTAAAATGAAGGCAGCACTGATCAAGGTTTTCTATAACTCAGCAAGTTTGTTTAGTTTCTTTTCCACTAATATGTCCTTAAACACTGCCAGAGCCCATACTGTGTTCCTGTCTGTCTTCTTCTGCTGTTCCCGCTAGTGTTTACTTCCTGTCTGTCTTCTTCTGTTGATTTTCTTTGACATTAAACGCTCCGTCTTTTAACCTCTTTCCTTCTCTCCCTTGATCCTCCTTAGCAACAGTCATAATTTTGCCTAGCAGCGGTGTGTTATCGAGTATTAACAACCTCTGAATGTCCACATGGACCAATGAGAATCAAGTATTCAACTAAGCCGAGAAAATAATATATCACAATATTTCTGATATCCATATTGAGAACATTTTGTAGGTTTAAACCCTGCAGCCCTATTGTGGAGAGCAGTCATATTTTTAAGGGCAGAATCAAAAAACGCCCAATTTAAACTTTGACAATGTCAGGCTATGCATAAAGTTTTCTCAATGACATCTTCGTCTGTGGCTATGGCAACCGGCGAGGACAGTAGACACCTTAGGGCTCTGAGTCTGGGAGGCGGCAGCGATGCTCAGAATAGACTCGAAACACAAGAGTGATGGAGAGCAGAAGTGGGTTAGTCCACATGAGGAGAAGAAAAAATATCTGCTGACCTCCCTGCGGGGAAAAGAGGAGACGATGACCTCATGGATCGATAGCGTCTGACATTATCATCAGGGAGGACACATCCTCAAGAGAGAGGACACATCTTTCTCTTACGTCCTCTTCTTGCTGGATGCATCTTTATTAAGCACACATACATCTTGTTGAGGTTGTGTGGCTGTATTTAAATGACCACACAAGCCACAATAAATACACACAAGTTACCCAAAAGGTCCAGGTTATACAGCAAGTTTCTGTGTGGTCTCTATTCTCTCTTTTATATCAAATCGAGCTTTATTTGTATAACCCAATATCACACCTCAGTGGACTTTACAGATTGAAAACAAACCACAACATTTCCCTCTCTGTATCTGTCTGTCATCCCGTCGTATCTTGGATATTTCCTCCTCCTACTTACTAACTAGCGTACCTTCTGTCTTTGCCCCCAGACATCGAGAAGAAGCCGGGGGAGGACTGCGACTCTAAGCCCCTCCAAAGCTCCGTCAGCAGCCAATCGGCAGTCTTCAGTAGCGAGACGAGCAGCAGCAGCAGCCAATCACAATCACTGTCGTCGCTTTCGTTGCCGCCCTGCAGCTCCGAGCAGCCGTCGGCCGAAGAGCCCTCGCACTCGTTTAGCAGCTCGAGGGAAGGTGAGATGGGACAATTGACTTTTTTATGATACTGTCAAAAACCAGCCTATTATTTATTTAAAAATTGTGCAGTCTATATTCAGTCTATATTCAGTCTATATTCAGTCTATATTCAGTCTATATTCAGTCTATATTCAGTCTATATTCAGTCTATATTCAGTCTATATTCAGTCTATATTCAGTCAGGTGGGGCGCTTTAACTACTTTTTTATTTCTCACACTTGTCATGTTTTCCCTCTGCAGGCATGTCGTCCACAGAAACCGCCCACGGCACGCTGCTCACGCCCACAAAACGTCCTCGGGAATCAGGTACGCCCTCTTCCTCCTGCTCTCTTAACCCGTCCTACAGAGCTGGGAAGTAGTGGAGTACAAATACTTTGTTACTGTACTTAAGTACATGTTTCTGGTATCAGTACTTTACTCCACTACTTATTACTTTGACTTCTTACATGTTGAACACAAATACCTGTACTTTCTACTTCTTACATGTTGAACTCAAATACCTGTACTTTCTACTTCTTACATGTTGAACACAAATACCTGTACTTTCTACTTCTTACATGTTGAACTCAAATACCTGTACTTTCTACTTCTTACATGTTGAACTCAAATACCTGTACTTTCTACTTCTCACATTTCCCAAACAGCTGGTTCCTTTAGTCTGAATGTGTGTTTGATGCGTGATCATTATTCTTTAGAGTCATTGCGTGCCTATTGATTTGAACACGATCCGTGTATCCATCATTTCCTGGTCTTCTCTAAAGAAGAGGGACCAATGGAAACGTTGTCATGTTGCCGTTGTTCAGCATGGAAACATTCATTAGTTAACAATGACATTATTGTTCTATTAATATAAAGGGAGGTCAGGTACTCTTTAAAGCAGCTGCTAGTTATGGGTACTTTTTACTGAAGTACATTTCAAAGTTCTTTACTTTGACTTGAGTAAAGAAGTTTAGTCAGTACTTCTACTTTTACCAGAGTATTTTTAAACTACTTTTACTCAAGTAGAAGTATCTGTACTTCTACTTGAGTAAAGGATGTGTGTACTTTTGACATCTCTGCCGCCCTACGATGGCCGCCATATATTAATGTTGCTGTTTTTTGTTTGTGTTCCTCAGCGTCGGGCTCTGAGAGCGAGGCGACGCCGGAGAAGCGGCCCCGTGCGGAGGAGAAAGATGGAGGAGGAGGAGGAGGAGAGGAGGCCCGCGGGACGCCCAAGCAGAAGAACCGCCGACGCTGCTACCGCTGCCAAACCAAACTAGAGCTGGTGCAGCAGGAACTGGGATCCTGTCGCTGCGGTCAGTACCAACACGCTGCAAAGCTCTGCGTTAATACTGACATTCACTGTCGATAGGCGCTTTCACACCAAGTACTTTTCCCAGGAATAGTCCCCGGAACTATCTAGTAGATCGCGTTCACACCGGAATAAGTCCCTGAGGGAACCGCTGACGTCACTTCTTCTTCTGCTTTGGGTTTACTGGTAGGCCGCAAACAACTTCACGGCGTATACTGCCACCCGAAGTCCCGAGGCCCCCCGGACTTCGGGTGGCAGTAAATCGCCAACCGAAGCCCCGAGTAAATCGCCAGAACGCCGACACCTCCTCATCTCCACCGCTCCCACGTTCTATTTTGTGTTGCCATAAGTTAGTCTCTCTCCGTTGGTGCGCTGGGCTAATGCTAATAATGCTAATAATGCTAATGCGAGGAAATAAAATGGCGGCTTCACAAAAACTTTATTTTTTTTACGGGGCGTGGTTGCAATCCGCCCAGCCAATCAGAAATTGGAACCTTTTTATCCCCAGGAAAGTCCCTGCTCTCTAGCAGGGACTAAAAAGGGCTGAAAAGGTTCCCGAAAAAACGCAACATCCCAGGAACTATCGGAACTATTTCTGGGAAAAGTACTCCGGTTTGAAAGCGCCTATTAATTAGGGATGCCAGTGATTATTCGATTATTCGATTATTCGTTACAGTCTCCATAATCGAATATTATTTTTAAAAATCGATTTTATTTATATATTTTTTTATTATTATTTATGTTTTTTATTTATTTTTCTGGCTTAGTTTCAACCAAAATATAGACTAATGCTAATAATAGTAATAGTATTAACAATTGTAAATGGCCATTGGTCACACCACCAGTTTGTTTTACTGTAAACTTGGAGGAAGCCTGCGTGCAGAGCAGACTGCTGCTGCAGCACGCTACACACCGCCCCCGCCCCCACCCCCACCCTCCCTCACACGTTTGACTAAAGATGAACAAAGCGGCAGGTAAAAGAGTTCCTCCTCGTGGAACAATAGGCTAATTATTAAATGTATTTCAATGCTGCTAGTATTAATACAGGCTACATGATGGTGGTTTATTTTTTGTTATTGTCTAAAGTGCCTGCCATTGCCTTTATTTGGTCGATTATTAGATTATTATTCGCCAGGGCTGCCGAATAATCGATTTTGATCATGGTCAGTTTCTGGCAACCCTACTATTAATATCCACGACTACCCGAACAAAGTTGGCTAAGATACTTGTTTTTGTTTGACATGAAAAACCGACGCTACATAAACCATTAGATGAAAACAGTATGCCAGCCTTCAGCTTTATTCTGACATTGAGATAATTAGTGTTTGATTCAAGGCATAGGCGTAAAACCCAAGTGTTACAAATCCAGATTTGACATAGTGTTTATCTCGTTTAATTGTTCCTGCTTGTTTCAATCACTGGAATCTAAAGTTATACAGATAACACACCAAGTGTATTTTTTAAAACAACCTTTCAGTGTTACTTTATCGTTTGAAATGAAACTACGAAAGTCGTTACAAACCTCTAGATAAGCTCTTAAACCCAGATGTATTTTATTATATGTGCTATTAGTATTTTAAATAATTGATGTCATGATTTGCACTGTGACTCAAACAAAGTGCTGACATCAAACTGTACAATTACATTAAATCAAGTATCATGATTATATTTACACATTACTAAGATGTACATGTTTCAGGGTTCTTACGGTCATTAACAACCTGGAAAAGTCATGGAAATTCAAAATGCTAATTCCAGGCCCTGGAAAAGTTATGGAAAACAATATTTTTCTCAAAGTTTTGGAAAAGTCATGGAAATGTAACTAAAGTTGCATCAAATATAATTTATATTTTATCTAATCACTGAAATAGTAATACTATAACGATAATAAATACTGTATCGTAGAGAAACGTAAAATGGCATTTAACTGAAGAGGTGTTTTGCTGGTGAGAGATTTTAGTTGCTTATCCTGTAGAACAGTGCTTCTCAAAGTGTGGTCCGTGAGCGCCCCCTAGTGGTCCGTGAGTATATTGGTAAAATTCCACATTTGACATGAATAAATACATTTAAGTTTTCCGCACTCTCGCGGGAATATCTCCGCAATGGAGCGAGGTTAAGTTTCACTTTCGATTGCATGATATAGCCCAGCGCAACACCTTCCTCACACATGCTGCCACTTGTTTGTACCATTTTCAGGCGATTTGTAATCTGTTCTAGAAAAACGATGTGCTTTTGGATATGTGTGGAGTTAGGTGGTCCGCGAGTGTTTTTTTTATTGGTTAAGTGTCCTTGGTATGAAAAGGTTTGAGAAACACTGCTGTAGAAGCTAGTAAGCCTACTATTTGATTTGTTTTAGATGGGCACAACATGTTTCATATGCAGACCTTATTTTCCTGTAATAAACCATTTTCAGTCGTACCGCTGAGAAAGAGTAATTTTTTTGGTCATGGAAAATCATTGGTGAAAAAGTGTATGAACCCTGATGTATACCATCCATATACTATACACACGCAGTCTAACAATATTTATATATTTTTGTTTTGGTGCTTTCACAATGAACTAGTAAAGCAGTACAAATCAGATGGAGAAGACTTAAGAGGCTTGTTTTCATACATTTTTGTGATGCTTTTTCGGTAAAACCATTTTTTACATTTTCCCCAATACAAAACGACACATATATTTGGGTCACTTCTTTCCTCACTAACTCTTCCTCCTCCTCGTCTTCCTCCCCAGGCTATGTGTTCTGTATGCTGCACCGCCTGCCCGAGCAGCACGACTGTCTGTTCGACCATCTGGGCCGCGGGCGAGAGGAGGCCGTGCTCAAGATGGTGAAGCTGGACCGCAAGGTGGGGCGATCGTGCCAACGCATCGGAGAGGAGTGCTCCTAACAACCAGCCGCCATGAAGAGGAGGAGGAGGAGGAGGGGAGGAGGCGCTTAGGAAGAGAGGATGAGGAGGAGGAGGAGGAAGAGGACAAATGGAGATCAGGGTGGGAGATGGAAGAGGAAGAATAAGGGAGCAGGAGGTTGTAACATCTTGTGTGTGAACTCGGTATTCTGTTATGGTCCTGGTTTCCGGCGAGGAGTGTGTTTTGGACTCCTTTCTGGGAGGAAAATAGGGGTGCGTTCCAAATGTTCACACACACAGCCTGAACAGATCCGGTTACATTATGCACGCCTCACCACCGTTTCCTCCTTTTCATTTTTTTCCCCAGGACAGGAAGATACGGAAAGTTGTAGCTGGATTTTTAATTGTTTTGGTCGCGGTGGAACTCTATCCCACGATTACTCCTCAGATCGTTATAAAAAAGGGGGTCGGAGGATCAAACCCCGCCTTCCTCCTCCTCTTCCTCCTCCTCCTCCTCCTCCTCCTCTTACTCCTTTCTTCCACCAACATTACGGTCCATGCGCAGCGCCACTAACTGCTGGTGCATGGTGCCGGCGACAGTGTGTGTGAGTGTGTGTGTTAAAGTGACGCAGTCCAAGGAGGCTGTCATGGTTTGATTTTTTTTTTTTTCCCCGCTCTGTTTTTACTGACGTCGTGGAGGACGATACAGCCGGCCCCTGCCTCTGCTCACATGGATTGTCGATAAATAATAATAATAATAAGAAGAAGAAGAAGAACCACACTAATGGACAAGGATGAATCCTCGGTGGAGCAGATCTTCCTCCCCTTCCTTTTTCTTTTCGGAGTAGTACTGTTGTTTTGCATAACGGGGAATCGGCTGAATTTTTTTGTATTAAAAACGAAGAGTTCTTCTCCAAGACGCCACGTGTTCATTTAGGAAAACGACGTTCACCCCGAGTGTCTCTGGGGTTGGAGACGATCAGTTAAAGAGAGCTAAATCGAATGCATGAATCGCCCCTGAAATTGTTCTCTAATTTATTTCTTGTTTTGTCATTTAATTTTTAGGGGGGAAATGATCCTTAAAAAAAATGTTATAATTTCCTTTTTAACTTTATTTCATAATCCCTCCCAGAGGTGTCATTTCTGCTCGTGAGCGCTCACCAAATGGAGTTTAAATCAGTGATGTCATATTGATACGCTTTTGTTTTAGGCTAATGAAATTAACCCAAAGCCGGTTAAATGGGAGATGTTTTACACTTAAAGTTAAAACAAAGAGTTTGACTCTTAAATCTCCACTTAAGTAACAGAATCAACAATTTTTTTGGTTCTTTTCAGTTACGTTTTCCTATTGATTAATGAACCTTATTCAGGTCTAAAATGAACCGTTACAGCAGCAGGTTGTTTATCTGACATCACAGATTCAAACCAGTAATGATGCCTAAAGTAAATTCTTATATTGATTGGTTTTCCCTTTGTTCATTCATATTTGACCACTGTGTTCCCGCTCTTCAGTCTGAGTGTTGGACTTTGTGCTGTGCATATTGTTCACTTTCACGCCTTAGGGGTTTTCCACTTAAATCAACGTTTTGTTTGTTCGTAACTGAACTTGTTTCCTTCTTCAAATGTTCATCTATAGTTTGGCATTTAGCGCACATTGTAGATGCATTTAAACGCAGGTACGGAATATCCTTAAATGCAAGTTGACGTTGCATTGTGTACTTTAGGTTTCTCAAGGCGGTAGATGTCCTTGAATGCATCCTTTTTTGATTTTGCAAATTAACTTAAGGAAAAGTTGATTTCAGGTGGAAAGCCCTTAACCCAGACACCACTTAACTTAACTATGCTAATCCTCATGCACACTTTATTGTTCCGCCTCACCTTTTGTCCCATGAGAACGCAGCGAGAGATAAAGGGAGACCGGAGAAATGTCGCGGCTCGTTCTTATTTTGATATTGTTTTGACGGCTAATGAGAAATGGAATATCTTTCTTTACCTTTTTTAGAGACAAATTATTTAACCTTATATCAGTTTGAGTTACTTACACCCTAGCATAGAGTGGCATATTTAGTTAAATGTATAAAAAAAAGACCATAATTCTGTCCTATTTTCTCCTTTTTAATTTTATCGTGTTCCATTTTCTGCTAAGGAAAATAAACTGGATTAGAGCATGTGATGTGTGTGTGTGTGTGTGTGTGTGTGCGCGCGTGAGTGTGTGAGAGTTAATCTGTGTTTCTTTTCTCCATATTGCCATTTGTTTGACGAAATAAACCATAAGCAGAATATCCATCAGAGTTCATTATTAATATCTTTAAATGTAAAGTTTTTCCTGCAATAATTTTGTTAGAGTTGATTGCATTTTGATAATAAAACATAATATATATGTTAATTTGTATGTTATCTACTGTATAGGCCTGTGGTGAAGTAGAAAACAGGATTACATATCACTTTACTGGCTGAAAGGATTTGCATGTAAAACGCAGCTGATTGGCTTAACGAACATTATCCTGCTTATTACACGTCTACTTACTAAATAAATCAACAATATGCCGAGTAATAACTCAGTATGAGATGTCACTGCATGTAGATTTAGCACCATGTCTCAAAAGATTAACACAATCCTATTTTGTTTGTAAATTAATTCACTTTCACCCAAATGTTGTAATGAAATGTGCAGCATCGTCTTCAGAGCTTAACTATTCGGTACCACTTTACAATAAGACTACCCTTATAGAGGGTTTCTAATTAGGTTATGAATTAGGTTGTAAACACTTTATTAATCATTAAGAGCCATTTATAAACCAGTTCTAACATAGTTGGTGGTGGTGGCGAAGTCCATAGCGACTTGGCTTGGCAACTGGAACCAGTTCAAGTCCCGGAAAGACCAAGTGCTACCGAGGTGTCCCTGAGCAAGGCACCGTTCCCTATACTGCTCCCCGGGCGCCGTGCATAATGGCAGCCCACTGCTCCTAACACTAGGAGGGGTCGAATGCAGAGAAACCGTTTCGTTACATAGAACCTGTACTACGTGATGACAATAAGTTGAATCTTCTTCTTCTTCAGTTTCCATACATCAACACAGGCTCACTATTTGGCAAGGTGACTAAGCCTTACATTGGCTACTTAGCGAGAATCAACTCAGTGAGCAACAGATACCAAGGATGCTGGCTGATGAAGGAGACGAAGTAAGCTAGGTAGCCAATATAAGGCTTAGCAGTACAGATACATGTGGGCTCACTATTTGGCAAGACGACTAAGCCTTATATTGGCTACTTAGCGAGAATCAACTCTGTTTGCTACCATGAGGCAAGGTACGTTTATTTACATTATACTTTTCAACCATAAGGAGAGCGAAGTGCTTTATAAAACATATAATATATATATATATGCTGTAGTAGGACAAAGTAGCACAAAGGTATATTTTTTATTAAAAGCATGTTTTTGTTGTCAAATAATATACAAAATGAAAAAAAGCTCAACCAGATATGAGTCATAAAATATTTGAAGCACTCACTTGTTACTTTTAATACTTGCTGTTAATACTTACACACAAAACTCTAATTAGGCTTTTAATGGTATTTTACTTGCAGTGAAGTATTTGTCCACATGGTGGTGCTGAAAGGATCAGAGTATTACTTCTAACTCTGATTCACCAAATAGTGTTTTAATTGGGGCAAGACAGAGCCTAGAAGGCAGCATTGTTAAAACATAGAGTATTTTAAAATGTATAGTTTTAGAGTATTGATTAGTCCTATAGTCTTTTTTCACCATCATATTTATATGCATTTATTACATTTGAATGCGTTTCCCCTTTTGCTGCTGCAGGGATTCAATCTCCATCTTCTGTCTCAGAGCTCTGCTGGACTTTTTCTCCACACATCTTCAACGCTGATGAACTCAAACACCCAGACAGAAGAGAGAAGATCAGATTAAATGAGGAAGATGCCGAAAACTCACCTGAAAAGGTACATTGCATTCAGACCTCCACATTTCACTTGTTAGTCGCTTTTCAGGGACACAACGACATGCAGTGGGGTTTGAACCTGTGCTCCCCTGACCCCAACACCAACGCTCAACCCACTGCACCACACGCCTCCTACACTACTTAATGTTTCAGCCTTTTTGAAAACAGGGATTTAGTAAGGGAGTTTATTTTGCAAATGTATTAAAAATAAATAACATTATAGGATTCACACTTTGCTATGATACTTGAAATGTTGCTTGGGTGCCTCCAAGTTCTCTTGCTCTTCGTAGAGATGTTTCGACACCTTGATTTGAGTCAGACTGTGTCAATACAGGGATTTTTTTTAAACCAGTCTTTGTAACCAATGGCATATTACGGGGTGGAAGAAACTTTCTACAGAGCTCGGTGTCCGGATTGTGTCGAGAAACAGATTTGTAAAGGCTATAAAAAAACACGTCTGTAGACTTTAATGCAATTTGGTGTTATTGAAAAGCAACAGAAAGAAAACAATGCCAGTAATAGAGAAAGGAGATCTATTGTTTTTAATAATAATAATAACTTTTATTGATACAGCACTTTTCCAAACAACGTCACAAAGTGCTTTACATGCAGAACAGTTCAGGCGGCAACAAAGCATGCGGTCAAAATCCCCCAAACCCACCTGTTACGACCCGCCCTCTATTAGTGGTAGTGGCTCGTGGGGAGAGCCGCAACATAAAATCAAAACACACCAAACACGCAGCACTTAACGGCGTTCATTTATTTAGACACGTACTCACATGGGCCAACCGGCACATCATACAATAACATATAGGCTTACAACAATAGCAGCAGTAAGTTACACAAAACAAAAGTAAAACAAATAATACATGTCGAGTAAAACAGAGTGGTGTTTTTGAACACTAGATGGCGCACTAAGCCACAAAGACGTGTATCCTCTGGTTCACCTCTCACATAAGAAGAATCCTTTTTATTTGTGTATCATGTGTTTAATTGATAAAGCTCAGTGTGTCAGATCAATTATTTAGAAAACATAAAGTATTTCTCTTGACTTGTCGACTCGTGTGAATGCAACAGGAAAAGATGACTTCCCTCTCCTCCTTATCTTATTCAAAGTATTATGTATTCCAGCCTCCTTCCTTCTTCTCTCTTTTTCATCCTATCCTAGGCTTAGAAATATTTAGAACATGTTTTTATTTCTCTCAGACTACACACTGAAACCAACTGGCACTGCTGGGTTAAAGACATAAACAAGGGGTTGTATTGATATTAATATATAAAAACAACACTTGCATTAATGTTAGTCTTACTTCACACTTAGTCTTCGTTTTCTACTCTTTTTTACATGACTGCTTATTATCACAACGGGCAATCTTTCAATCCACATTTTGTTCTATTCAACATGAACATATTTACTTATTCATGCTTTTACTTGCCACTGTGTCACTTGCAGTATTTAGTTCCTTATGTATTGCTATTATGTATTAAGTATATTGTATGTGTTGCATTGTTGGGGGAGCCTGGACTTCATATTCTCATTGCAAACAACTACACTGTAACTATTGTGCAATAAATGACAATAAAGCCTTTCACTCTTTGAATCTTAACTAAAAAAGGACCTCTGTTTTGACTTAGTGCTGTTGTGGTGGGTTGCGGCTATAGGAGAGCCCTCTGTTGTTCAACATTGACACTAAATATCTGAACAAATGTGTAATGATTTGAACAAAATCCATAGATTATGAAAAAAGTCAGATTTTGTTGACTATACATTTTCGATTTGTATTTAATGTATTTGTTTTACTCTTAAATAGAACAACTGTCATAAAACACAATCTCTCCCATGATAAATACATATTTCTCATTTTATTCTATTCTTGTGTGTTTATTTTTTGTATTATTAAAAAAATAAAAAATGTAATACAGTTTTTTATTCTCCATCAGTGGAGTAGTTGTGTGTGTCGGCAGGTGGAGCTCCATGCTCCTCAGTCAAACCTCCAGGAGGGTCCAGGAGTCCCTGTGCGAAACACACTGACTGCGCACCCCACGCACACACGCACGCACACACACACACACACACGCGCGGCTGTCAGGCGTGTCAGTGGAGCGCTCGAGCCTCTGTGAGTTGGAGAGAGAGAGAGTCAGTGTGTTGCCGTCAGCACAGAGAGTGTGTGTCGGTGTGTGTGAGCGAGTTAGTGGAGGGTTAGTCCGCTTTGTTTGATTGTCTTCTCTCCCTCGCTTGTGTAGACATGGACATATAAGATGAGCCGGGCAGCCGCCGGCTCCTCCTGACCACCGGGAAATGAAGCGTCTCTGTCGGAGGCTGTCGGTGAGCGTGGCGGTGCTCGTGTGGCTGGGAGCGCTGGTTTACCTGCTGGTGCTCAGCCGGAGGAGGCTGCCAGAGCTCGGGACCGGAGGAGGGGGACCGGGAGGACCGGGAGGAGAGGCAGCAAACAGCCAGGTGAAGTACCACCGCGAGAGTGTGTGTGAGTGAAGGCCATGTGGGGACGTCCAGTGTGTGTGTGGAGTTAACAGGAGACAGGATATAAGCATGGGAAATACAAGTAAGAGTACAAAAGTGTTAGCATAACTTCAGGTATGATGTTATTGAATAAGGTGATGCAGTTATCATCACTAATGCATCAGGTGAAGTAACCACCACCGGTCCTACTGTGTGAGTGTGTGTGCATGACAGAAAGACCATGTGGGGACGTCTACTGTGTGTGTGGAGTTAACAGGAGACTCACTGCAGGATATAAGCATCCACAATATAAGTAAGAGTACAAAAGTGTTAGCACAACTTCAGGTATGATGTTTGATATATTATTGGATAAGATGCAGTAATCATCAGGTGAAGTAACCACTGGGGAGTGTGTGTGTGTGCGTGTGTGTGCGTGTGTGTGTGCGTGTGTGTGTGCGTGTGTGTGTGTGTGTGTGTGTGTGTGTGTGTGTGTGTGTGTGTGTGTGTGTGTGTGTGTGTGTGTGTGTGTGTGTGTGTGTGTGTGTGTGTGTGTGTGTGGTTTTCTCCTAAGCCTCAGAGATAGTTTGTGTTTCTGTGCTGGGAAAAAGTATGCAAAGTCTCGAGTAAATAATATCTACTTAAGGAAATAGTTCATGTATTAGTGTTTACGTTTTGGTTCTTGGCTCATGTGCAACTTATTGGTAGTTTACATTTCCATTTCATGACCTTTCTTTTAATGTTTTAAAGTACAACTCTTAACATGCAAGATATTAAGAGACGTAAGAAGCACAAGTAAAGCATAAAAAACACCAGGTAACTTTGGGTAAAAGTACTTTTTAATGTACTTTTGATGTATTTCGTCTTATGTATTCCCTCTGATAACCAGTCAACCCCCTTAGCCATCGCACATTAGTCATATTTAATCCCATTAACAATATTCCTGCCTGTAGTGGCTCTGTACTTATTAATGCCATGTCGTATTCCCTCTATACGAAGTGCTATAAGCTCGACCACCCACTGGAAAGGGGTTCTTATATATATATATTCTTATATACGATCAGAATCCGATGGATGTGGCTCCTCTGAAGATAATGCGGTTCATTTCCACCCTCACCACATGATGTGTGTTATGTAAAAGAGCTGCAGCGTGTTAACCATGGCGGTGGGATGAAGAGTATTGATCGAGCCCCTGTTACCTTGTTTTATTGAACCACACACACACACACACACACACACACACACACACACACACACACACACACACACACACCCACACACACACACACACACACACACACGCACACACCATGTATGCATCACTTCAGGGGACATTACATTGACTTACATGCATTTCCTGGAGACTTATCCGAACCTTAACCATAACCAACACATGCCTAACCCTAACCCTAACCCTAACCAAGTCTTCACCCTAAAAACAAAACAAAACAAAACAAACAGACAATCAAAGGGCAAACAAAAAATAAAGGAAGCCGGGGGACCAAGAAAGGGCTAGGGCCTGAGGGTCAGGGTGAACAGGTGTGTTTTTAATGATGATTTGAAGATGTTCAGGGAGGCAGCATTACGGATCTCGGCAGGAAGTGCATTCAAGTGCACACACACACACACACACACACACACACACACACACACACACACACACACACACACACACACACACACACACACACACACACACACACACACACACACACACACACACACACACACACATATTTTTCTCCTCTTAATCTGACTTATATCCGCTCTTTAGGCACATACATATAATACATCTATTTCTCTCAGTCGAGACACTGGAAATCACTGGGTATACATGAACATCCGTGACGCCCCTTCTCTGAACATCTTCAAATCAACCCTGAAAACTCATCTGTTCAACAAGGCCTTCCAACATGAACTCCCCCCCCCCCCCCCCCCCCAGGACATGTAACACTTCCATTTCTGCCCCCCTGTTTTATGTCTTGTCCTTAAATGTTTCCTTGTTAAGCGACCTTGGGTTAATGAAAGGCGCTATATCAATTAAAGTTATTATTATTATTATTATTCATAGAAATAGGCAAGAAAAATAATAAATTAAGGCATATCAAAAGTTCATAACAGATAACCCACTCAGTAAAAGTAAGAAAAACAAAATGAAATAAATAATGTCGGGATGTCTCTAACTAAAAGTTCATTTAAAATAATATATTTTTACTGATAACTATGTGTATTTTCATCAATCTACAGCAGTTTTGGTTCCTCTATCTTGGTTTTTAGGGTCATTCTGACATTTCCTGGGTCATCTTTAAGCATTTCCGTCCCTAATTTCTGCCATCGTTAACGTGTTCTAAATAATGAAGCACACTTGTAACAGAATCAGATTGATTGATTGCTGTTGCGTTAATCACTCAACACTACTGGCACAATCCTCCCAGTCCAGTGTACCTTAATTGCACGAATTCAAAGAATATTTTCTAAGTCATCAGCACATTTTTCGATGGAAAGACGTGTGTGTGTGTGTGTGTGTGTGTGTGTTCAGCTCCTCCACCACACACTGAGACTCAGCACTCTGTGTTTATGAAGAGACAACAGAAAAGCTGCACGAGCTGCATGTCGAATCAGATATCCTCCACTCAGTTTCCTAATATACTTCTTATACATGATGTATTTTTACTCACGGGAGTATTCATCTATATTTCAGCAGCGTGGTGTGACCATTGTTTTGTTTGTGAGGCAGGTGGTTTATGAAGCTTCGTCTCAATGTGAGGCGTTTTGGATGTGAGCGTCAATTCAATGGCGTAAATGCGGAGTGAAAGTTTCATAATGGAAAACAGCACGGGTGAATTACACGTTAGTCAAAAGCCTGTGTTTTTAGAGCTACATATTCAGACTCATAGTGGTATAATCAGGATTAATCGTACGTTTAAAACTCTTAAAATAACCTATATTTTGTGAGAGATAAAACAGATGTGGGGTTGAAGTTAAAAATACATTACAAACTGAAGAGAAATCAGATTTCTTTAACGTTATTATAACAGGATTTCTGATTCATTGGCATGAAGTCAGTCCATTTTTACTATCATACTGTGAGCATTATCTGTTCCTACAGTGTTTATGTTTATTTAGGATCCCATTATCTTTTGCTCTTGACAAAAGCTACTCTTCCTGGGGTCCGACACTTAAAACAATACAACAATACTCAACACAACAACATTCAAGACATAAGTCCTGACAGCAACATCACCAACATCATCAACAATCTCGTCCACTTTCAACATCAAACTCAGCCAAGGATGAGTGCACAAGACACCCACCAGTACAAAGCATGAGATACAATTCAATTAGGGTTCTCAGTTCACGAGGGGTTCATGCTCATTAGTAGATGGCCCTTCAATCTCTTCTTGAAAGAGGCTCTGGACTCTATGTCAGCAAGGTGGTTTGGCAATGAGTTCCATTGTAGCTCTATACGTCACAGAAGGGTTCAGAAGATGTGTCCTGGGTTTAGGTGCCCGGAGATGGCCTGATGCAGCTTGACTAGTCCTATGGTCGTGCTCGTCTCTTGTGTAAACTATTTGATCATAAAATACAGTGTTTTTTTGCCAAATTGGACATTTCTGAGAAAAGTGATAACACCAGATTGCAGACGTTTCTCAACCGGAAGCCATGATAGGTTTCTATGCATAACTCCAATATGAGTGTGCTTCAAACAGTGGAGAGCGAGTCTGGCAGCCTTGTTTTGAGCTATTTGTAATGTGTTTTTGCTGCTGATGACCATATGACCGGACAGTACTCAAGATGTGACAAAACCAGAGACTGGATGACTTGTTTCAAAGTGGTTGGTGTTGACTCTATCCACTATCTCACACTCCTGTGCAACTTCAGGACACACAATGCCTCTCCTGCTTTCAGCTCATCTAAAGAACGAGTCATGTGGTGGAATTTAACCAATAGAAAACCATCAAATAATTATAAAATGGTGGGGAAACCTTCCTGTTATACTGAAATGAAGAAACTCGGAATAAGACAGTCTTTTAAGGAGTTTATTCTTGCAAGAAGTGTCGAGCAGTCTGCAGCGAAGTACAACAATCAGGAGGTCTTATATTCACATTTTCAGAAAGAGAGTAGAAAAGGAGGGGGGTTAAGATAGACAAGAAAACATACATATAGGATTATTTTTAACACAGCAACAGGAGAGCCATCGTGTCTACTTTCCTTAAAAGGAGAAGGCCACCAACCTTACAATAATAAATAGATCCAACATTATTTACGACTCGTAGGTTAGGACATATTTACTGCTACCTGTCAACCATTGTATTAGAAATAGCTTGACAAGAAGAACACGTGGTGAACTTTCAATACTCAACATTTCCAATGACAGTAAATAACATTTTTCATGGATCAGGTGTGCTGTTACAGAACGGACGTGTCCAGTGGTCTCGAGTCAGGTGCGATACATGCAGCTTTTTGCCAGTTTGTACGCCTTTTCACTTCCATTCAATGTAAAATAATCCACGCTTGAATTACGGGAGAAAGGTTGAAAACGTGTTAATGTAATTTTGGCAGCTATTTTAGATTTAGATTTAGTCTTTAGACGAAAATGGTTATTAGTTTTAGTCACATTTTAGTCCTTTTTATCCTTCATAGTTTTAGTCGATGAAAAATCATTACATTTTAGTCCAGTTTTTAAACCAATTCAGTTAAATACAGGTATCTGAAATTGTAATCAAGGTGACATTATTGAAATTCATAAAGCAACATTTCACTCTCCTAACACTTTACTTGTGTAATTAGTGACGTGTGCAGATTCCCAGAATCCCAACTAATTCAACCAATGACAGGGGTGCATTTTGACAGACAAGACGGACAATGGGGGAAAATATCCTGCATTTTGAATGTCCGATAGTCCACCAGTAACACCTTAGTCCTGTCTCGTCTCGTCAACGAAAACTAAATATACATTTCGTCATAGTTTTTATTATGAAAAATCTATTTTTAGCTCGTCC